TCAGTACTATAGTAGTCTTCCATCATCTCTGGCCTCCTGGGGTGGCATTCTGGGGGTGCTGGGTGCCCAGGAGGAAGATGTGAGGTAGATTGGTGGGTGTGCAGGAGGGAGGGGAATGGCAGCAGTTCCCCAGGAGGCTTGCTTCTGGAGCGGGGAGGGTTGGAGAGAGAGTTGTGGTGCTTGTTAGGGAAGATAGTTCATTATTAGTGGTATTTGAATGAAACACATGAAAAAATGAAGCAACCACACTTTAGCCCATGGTACAAAAATATATCCAGAGTGAATCTGTTTCACATCTCAGTTCTGAGATCTCCCTTAGTTCACAGGTTATTGGTCATCAGACGAACAAGCAGATGCAGCTGTACAAAACCAACTCCTGCTTTGCTGGACGAAGTCTCAGACGTTCCCATGCACTGTGGCAGCAAGTTGCTGCTCTTGGCTCTGTTTGGGGTAGCAAGCAGCCCCCCCACCCCGGTGTTTCCCTTTTGTTGGGAACCCTTTCCTGAACAGAGAGCAGGTGGAGGGGGAGCTAACTCATTTGGGGGGTACAGAGCAGAGGGACTGGACCCCTTTCTTGGTGATGCTCACTTTCTACATGAGAGAATGTGTAGTTTAGCATTAGCATTTGATCCCAGCCATGACTTTAGGCCTTTTCTAGCCACCTCCTGCGATTCAGAAAGGCAGTAGGATATTTGCGTGGCTTGGGGACTGAAGAGATTCTTTACCATATCTATGCATCTGGAGTGGCTGGGTAGGATGTTAAGAGTGAGGACTTTGGGGCAGAAGGAGAACTGGTAGCTTTACTTGCACAGAATTTGTATTTGTTTTCTGGAAGGGAAAGAACAATTGAATGTTTGTGTCATCAGTTCAATGTTAAGAACTATGGATGGGGTTATGTAAATAGCTTTCCTGGTGATTTTCTTGGTTAAACCAATCCTTTCTGGGTAAACAGTTAGCTGTCAATCTTTGTGTTCTTCAGAACAACCCCATTGTTGTTCAGAGGGCTGGGCTTGTTGCAGGAGACCCTGCTCATTGTGTGGCTGGCCATCTTCTGCCAGTGGGTTTTAAACTTGACTCATGAGGATCTTCTGGCCCCAAAGCAAAGAGGGGGAAGCCAGGCAAGATTTTCCTGTGATCTTCTGCCTTCACTGTGATGTCACTGCCTGTAAGCCATTCTGCTTTTGAGACTCTTGACATCTGGACAAGGCTTCAGGTTTCTGAGTTTTTGCTTCAACTATATCTTGCATTCAGGTCCTTGGACATGTGCTGGTTGTCTCCACTAACTTGACCAGAACAAAATGAAATCTGGGGGTGCCTTCCAGGAATGTGCAGAGATGGGGGACAGTGGCTAAATAGCACTCCTGTTTTCTTCCAGTTTGGTGGACTGGATTGGCCTTTGATTTTGGAATACTTCATCCAAAGAGGGTAGGTACCCTGGCTTTGATGGGCCTTGGGGAGACGCTACTCTGCCTCTTTGAGGCTCAGGGATTTTTCTGCCTGAGGCAGACAATATTGTTCCAAAAGGAGAAATGTTGTGAACATTAGAAGATATTAGTGAATACATATGGGACTCCAGAATCGCAGACCGAGGCAGATAAAAAGGGGCAAGAAGTATCACCATCTAACCCAGTTATGAAGTTGGCTATTAGGCCTCTAAGGTCAGCATCTTCAAACCTCTATGTGTCTTGTTATTACCCAAATCTGAAACATGATAGCACACATAGAAGTAACTGCTGTGGACTGTAAAGGACAGTTGTTTAGTGGACTAAGAGAGAGGAAATGTGGGAGAGACCGGACTAATGGCAGGAAACTGGAGTGAGCAATGGGGGTCAAGCACTCATGCAGGAAGCGGGAGTGAGGTTCAGTCTGTTTTCAAAGTCATGGCCATTGTTGGTAGGCAAAAGTGGCTAAGTTAGCTGAAATGTCTGGGGTAGACCCACTGTCTCAATGCAGTGGGGCTTGCAGAATAATCATTCAAACTAGAAAGCCAATAAGTTTTGGTCACGGACATGGGAGAGGACAGGAACATTCTGGGAAACCTGGGTGGGGATCTCTGACATGGGTGGTCCCCTTGGGCTGGCTGGGTTGTGCCTCTTCCTGATGGCCTGAGAGCCTACTACGGGCAGACAGGAGGGACTGACACAGCCCTTTGTGGTTCTGCACTTTGGAAAGTGTAGATTGGAGTGTGGGCATGAAAACACTTAGGGAAAAGGGCTCTCTTGCAGTGTGGTGACAAGGGCTGAGGCATCAGTGCTGACCACTCGTACAGAAATACAGTCTTAGGACTCTGGATGGATAGCACTCATGGCTTCTGGATTTTGGCACTCAGCCCAGAAGCTGACTACACCTTCCCAGGTGAGCCTGGTCTGCCCTGGGTCTGCAGTTCTGCTGGTACACTAGGTTTCCCTAATAATGTGTTGCCTTTCTACAGTGAAAAGCAGGCACATGGGGTTCAGCTTGGTCTCTTGGGGTCCCAGCATGGGTTTTCTTAAACATGGTGGTTATGGGCTGCACTTGGGCCAACACAATGGTGTGGAGGGCCGCTATTTCTTGGATGTCTATTTTTTCTGCACATGAAATGTACGGTTGGGAACCCTCTCCCCTCAGAGACTTGGCCTAAGGCAGGGAAGAATATAACCGGACCTTGGAGAGCATCTTTCTGTGTCCTCAAATTTAAGATTATAAAAAAATTAGTTTTAATCAAAAAATTCCAAAATAAAGCAAGTGATTTCCCCATCTCCCAAGGTGTAGTAAGTTTCAGAGGCTCTCCCTCAGGGGCATAGCACTCAGCTGGAAAAGCAAGCAAGCAGCGTCCAGGATGGAGCAAGTGAGATCCCCAGCAGGGGTAGAAGACTAGTCCACTAAGAGGGACAGCCCTGCTCAATCCTGTTGCCCCAGGCCACTCCTTCAGGACACTGGCTGGGGCTGGCAGGTTAGGGTAATGACTATGTGAAGGCAATCGACGGAAGTGTCAGCCTGGGCAGCAGGATCCCTCGGTTCTGTGGTGTCCCCAGGCGACGTGGTGTGCAACCAGGAACAGAGATGATTTCCTTGCACACAGCAGCATGTGTTCTCATTACAGCTCAAGGCATTAGTCATACTTCTGATTGGAAACCCCCCCATCTTGGTTGAAGCGCATACCTTATACTAGGGAACTTGCAAGGAGATCAGTGTTGAACCACAAAGCGAAGTACAGGGTTTTTTGTCTGTGAAATGTACAGTGCGCCTGGTTGGGGCTGTGGTGTCAGGACTGAGGTGGTGCTCCTGGACCCAAGGTTCCATACAGGACCGTTTCATACCTCCCCGACCCACACCACTGTGGCCACACCCTTTGTGCCCGACACCTCGCATCTCAGGGCGTTTTGTCTCCCGTTGATTAGGAACAGCGACTCTTGAGCTGGCGTTAGGAGGTACTGTCCAAAGAGCCCACTGTCCCTCAGGATTCTGCGGGGTCCGCCCCAGGGTGGGGCTGGCCCAGTGGGTGGCTCCTTTAAGTTCTTCAGCCTGCCCATTTTCCCGGTAGACAGCTCGAGGAACAGCAGGTCTGGCTCCTTGTCGAGAGTGGCATAGACGTTGTACTGATTGCCTTCAGTGAAGGAATGCTGAAATGCCAAGTCTGAGATGCCTGGGTTTATTTTTAGGTCATATAGGGTCTGGATTTCCCCCCGTACTGTGACCTCCTGCACGTGCATCCAGGGGCCCTTGTTGGAGACACTGACGATGAAGCGTCCATCAGAGGACACGTGGGGGGTGCCTGTGATGTCAGTGTTAGGGCCCAGCACTGAGTCTGTGACACTGTCGATGAGCAGCTGTGGGCCTGTGGAGGTAGGAGTGTCCTGTTGGCATTGCACAAAGAAGTAGCCACCCAGGTGGGTATGCGCCATGGCTTGAGGCATGCAGCCATGGTGCTTCAGGCTGATAGTCTTGAGGGGCAGCAGAGTCTCCAGGTCAACTTTGTGGACAGCAGAGTCAGACTTGTTGAAGATGAAGCCAAACCTGGGAGGGAGAGCAAGGAGGTCAGAGAGCAGGAGGCCACTGTGGGGGGCAGGAGATCTGTCATCTGTTTTAAATAATGGTATTCTAACCCTTCAGTCATCTAATGGTTTATTAATAAGATCTATCATTCTGCAGGGGACACCTCCTGTGTCAGTTATCTGTACTATTCAGCCATGTACAGTTGAGTACAAATGTCCATGGATTTGTGTGTTTGCAAAGCCACTCATCTTTGGAGAAATGTTTTTGAAGGGCATAGCAAAGACCCTCAATGGCTTCTCTTTGGGAGGTCCCTTTGGATCACTCCCTAGTGTTAGCTGGGTTGGGGATCTGGGCTTGTAGGACTTGGAGAAAAAGACTGATCCTTGCCCGACTGTCATAAGGACACTTATCAATCAGCCTGCTTGTGAGCTGTCTGGAAAGTCAGAATTTGAAGACACAGATGCAACTAAGCAAGGACAGAGTTCCTATTTGTAATCCTGATGTTGGGGGAGGAGTGCACAGTGTGGTCTCCCCTCTGGCATCCATGTTGTAGGCAAGAAGAATCTTGGGCAACTTTTGCCCCAGACACCACGTGGTCTGGTGGTGCTGTGATGACCTTTCACTACAGAGCCTAGGACCAAATGCTTTCCTCTGTGAGCAGGGACTTTAAAGAGCGCTGTCTCTTCCCAGGGCAGCTGGGAAGATCGGATCCCAGAGGGAGCTCAAGCAGATGGGACTTGATCTCATCTGACTTTCTGAAATTCTGTTGGAGACTGACTGCAAGTACAGAAGGTCTGACTCCAGGTGGGACTTCCCCAGAGATCTGCTCCTTGAGTGTGTTGCTCACAAAGGCCTTTGAGGCTGAATGCATGCACCTAAAGGAATAGGAGAAATCTGTTTCTGTAATTTCCTTTTGGAAAAAAAAAAAGGTATCTTCAGGGTGGGCAAAATTTCCCAGACATTGACTTTAAAGCATCCTTAAAGAACTAGAGGGAGAAAAACGATGCTCTTAAAATGAACTTGAACTTAAAAGCCATTCAGGAGCATCTGTGTCTGCACTACTCCTGGCTGGATCCAGCAGCCTGGTGGGGTCTCCTGCCTGCATTCAAGCTCTGAGGCTCTGCAAGGAAGGGGTTCTTAGAGAGGCTATTGTCCTCTTTAGGTTCCCAGCATCAGCATGCAAAAATGAATCGTTTCTGAAAATAGTGTCTGATGTCAGTTCACAGAGGCATATATAGTGAGGTCTTTGGGGTCTTGATGACAGCAGGAGACATTTGCAGAGCCTGTGGGTGCCCTATAAATGAGGAAGGAAGGGGAGTGGCTCTGGGAAGTGTGAACTTTTTTTAATTAGAATGTATGCTTAGCAGGGCGACCAGGTTCCTCTGGGTATTTCTCTCTCTCTCTCTCTCTCTCTCTCTCTCTCTCTCTCTCT